GTGTTTTATACCAAGAATTCATCACAATAACGCCTTAAAGTTGTTGTCAGATTTAGCGTTAATGAATGAAATGTGTTTTGACGATTGATGCCAAACTTTTAGCCGGTACACTGATTCTACGTTGTAAATCTTTCACTCCTGAAATGTTATCCAAACAGACTTTTTCTAAGGATCGTGTATATATATAACTCCATGATAATACAACAATGTTTATAATTCGTGAAAAGGCTATCTTTGGAATGACGTCATAGACATCATTTCTATTTTCCTTACACATAAGTCAATATAAACAAAAGAGGTTGAACTTCTCAAAACTAAAACGTGACACAAGTTTATTATAATGAGCGATGCTGTATATACCGTTTGTCTTACCTTCAAGTTCAAAATTTACAAGTCTGAAAAAACATTACGATACCAAACCTATAGCATTTTCTCGAAAACTGCATCTCATTCTTTTTCATTCCCATGCCTCGGATTATTTTTTACTTACTTTCTTTTACAGAAATTACATTATTTATTGCTTAAAATAACTACCGATCGATATCTGGGGTCTTTTGAACTCGTTAGAGGTTCGGGGACAGACGGCCTGCTGCTTTCCACTGCATGATATAGGGCAATGCGAAACCGGTTTAACCCCAGTTCCAGATAAGTTTCCAGTTACTAAACAAGTAAACGCCTTATGACATCGTTCAAGTTCGGGGACAGAAGGCCTGCTGCTTTCCACTGCATGGTGGTAAGAGACCATTAGTGAGGAAATGTAGAATGAGATTTTTTCGGGGTCTTCTAAAAGGACGTTGAGAGACCAAAAGCTGACCCCATTTCAACACCTTGGATCTTTTTCATTTCCTATCTGCACTCTTTTCGCCGGTGTCTCCTCAGGCACCCAGTGGCTGAGTGGTTTTAAGGCGTCTGACCGTCTTCGATCACTAGCCCACCACCAATGGGTCGCGGCCCACGTGGGACAGTTGATAGGTAGGCCTACTGTCTGCAGGTCGGTGTTTCCCCCCGTGTTTATGAAATTTATGAAAACTGGATTGAAAGCGGAATAATCACTGTCGAGGATATTCTTAGGCCAAATATGCGAATTTAAACCATTTTTTTTAGCCGAATTGATCTCTAAATTAAATTGGATATCCGAATTTAGCAGGTTGAATATAGCCATTCCTGAGAGATGGGTTAAAACAATTAATATTTTATCAAACTATCACATAAATCGGTTGTAAGTAGGGCAGAAAAACAGTATGTTTATCCTGAAACACACACACAAAAAAAGATAACACTAGAACAGGCAACAGGCAAAGTACTATTCACGCTATTGCTACCTTCACAGAACTATATAATTTATTTGGAGACGAGAATGATAAAATAAATACTGTATTTCAATTTATCTCTAATATCAAAGAAAATAAATTGGACAAATATAGATGGAAACTTATTCATATGAGTTTACAATGCAAAACTTTGCTATTTTAATGGAAACTAGTAACTTCTGCTAAGTGTAACTACTGTATTATTGATGATAAATCTTGAGTATTGCGTACAATTACATCTGGTTCTTTTGGACAAAAGTTTCAAATCTAAATGATAGACTTTCCTTTTCACTAACAATAATGCCGTAACATTGAAGTCGTTAATCTTAGGACATAAGCCATACTTATGCAAAAGAGTACATTTTCATTAACTTTATACATGTACTGACATTAATTGGTTACAGATTAAACAAGTGCTATTACTTAAGCGATAAAAACACAAGTAAAGATGTTTGAAGATTTTTAAAAATGAAAATATCCTTGTATTGATATACTTACGGTTGTAAGTGACAACAAAATATGGGGGAACTTAAGGACTTCCCACCCTTCGTAATACACATGTTTCATTTCCGTATTGCGTATCGGGCATTTCATAACCGTAGTGTAAATTATTAGTAACACCGGGTAAACAATAAGTACACGTGCGTGATGATGAAATGTCAACAACCGATATCGAGACTTAACTTGGAAATGTGTAATCACACGTACTTCAGAAATAAAGCTTATGATACAAAGACATTAATGAACTCACGGGAAAACACTGACATCCGATCAGACGACTTCAAGAAGGTCGTATATGAGGCGCATGGAATGCAGACTGATGTGTTTTGTTTTGTTTCCCCAGTTTATCGGAATGCTGAGATTTTCATAAAATCATCTCTACATAGTGACATAACCATTATATGAAACTTTCATTGAATTCTGCTGGCTAATTGCGAAAGAGTGGAGCCTCCTTAAGTCAAATATTTGAGAGAATGTCATGAATGGAATCTACGTAACCAAAAAGAAAACGACTTTGAAATCCTTTTTCTCTCTCTCCGTTATTTTGATTTTTGGCATGCACTTTCTCATATGCACGTGGACAAGAGCTTGCATTGCATCAGACCTTAAACATCATACACATAGCTCTCCTTCCCAGATGTTGGTTTATACTTGCAATGGATTTTTTTACTGCGTTTGATATATTCTTCGTTTCTTCAATGTTCTGTGTTTCATCTTTGGTATGTAGATAATGTGGACAGAATTATTTTCGGGATATTTTCATTGAACATGTGTATTGGTTATTATGAGATTTATTAGATTCAATAAAAAATATAATCAAAGTTGTAAAAATAACAAGATGCCCATGGGCCTTAACGGTCACCTGAGTCCTACAGTATTTATTTTTGTTGTTGAAATATGTACCAATTTGAGTAAAAAATTGTTAAGTATAACGTAAATAAGTTTGTCAGGACCATGAGCTGATCATTCCTAGAACGATTTTCAGTTAGATCGGCCTATTAGAACTTGTTTTTAAGTTTGAAATAGGTATTTTCAAAATGGCGGCCGTAGTGGCCATATTGGATTTCTGATTGACCCGAAAAAATAACAAAACATTGTCAGGACAATAAGTGGATCATTCCTTCCAAGTTTCAGTTCAATCGGCCTAGCAGAATTTAACTTTAAATTTGAAATAGCTTTTCAAAATGGCGGCCGTGTCAGCCATATTGAATTTCCGATAGACCCGAAAAGTAACAACACTTTGTCAGGACCATGAGTCGATCATTCCTACAAAGTTTCAGTTTAATCAGCTCATTAGAACTTAGCTAAAGCTCAGGTGACCTAAAAAGCCAAACTAAACACTAGGCATCCTTCTTTAAATGACCGCCTGTTGGGAGGACGTTCAAACTCTTGATATTTGGAATATTCATAGACTCGTCTAGAAAATCAATAGATAACACGCGGAGACACCTATCGGATACAACTGATTTATTACGTACATGATTGGTTTGGTTTTATCGCGTTTGACATCCTTTTAACACATGGGGCCTGTCCGTTTATGCGGAACAACCGCTACGTCTGTTTTTAAATGTAACATTTTCGGGTATAAACCAAGGCGGACAGTCTACAAATGTTTATGCAGGCCTTGCAAAGGCTTTGAAATTGTCAGGGCTTGTCTGAAATCAGCATCAGATTACTAGGTCCGAACGTATTTCACAAAGGAGCAACTCTTGTTCAACCGGTTCAACCGTTTGGATCGTGATAAACGAAAACGGCCAAGCAGTCATAGGAGCAGTAGTATATGAACGAAGGGAGGTAACAATTGACACAGAAAAAGTAATGTGTAAAGTAGCCGAGCTTTCGCACAATGTTTCAAATGCTAAGTCCGTGATTACCCATTGGTAGAATTTAAAATAATTTCATGGTTTACACATGAATTGGATTTTCTATCATTACCATAACATGTTATAATACTGGTGCTAATGATATGTTCAAAAAACAATGAATTGTTCATTTCTGGCTGAAGAACACTCCCCAATACCAAAAATCTACTGGAACAATGTTAACCAAAATAGCACTACTAGATGCATGGACGGAACCCGTTTGTATATCACCTGGCAACTGTGTTTGGCAGGGGTTAATCACCTGAATGTAATAAACAACAAATCATATAGTCACAGCGGTTCGTTACAAATGTCTGAAATACACATAAGCTATACTGATATGGGTCATGTGTATATTTATGTGTGCTGTGACCCATATCAGTATAGTATATATGTCTTTCAGACATTTGCAACGAACCCCTGTGATCTAGTCATGATCCATTCATCTTTGAAATTTATTAAAATATTGAAAAAAATTCATAAACAGAAGCATTACATTGACTGAACTTTTATCTCAACCTTTATGTAGGTACATACCTGACACTTGTAAACACCATATCCCTCGTTAACACATGCAGCCATAGGTAAAGTTTCAGTCATTCTAAAAATTATGAAATCATTACTAAGACAAGCATTACTAAAATAAAATAATTTGACCTTTGATGTCTTCCTGTGACATTGACCTTCATGTATGTGGTAAGTGTCAGTCAGATGTAATGGTCTAGACAAGCAATATAATGATTTGACATTTCATCCCTTTCTGTGACCTTGACCTTCAGGGGACGTGTCTGTATGTGGTAAGTGACAGTCAGATGTAATGGCCTAGACAAGCAAAACAATGATTTGACATTTGACCCCTTTCTGTGACCTTGACCTTCAGGGGACCCGTTTGTATGTGGTAAGTGTCATTCAGATGTAGGTCTAGACAAGCAATACAATGATTTGACATTTGACCCCTTCCTGTGACCTTGACCTTCAGGGGACGTGTCTGTATATGGAATACTCCTGACCAAATATGATTGATATCCAGTGCATAGTTCTAAAGAAGAAGTCGTTTATAGCAATATAGCCAAATTGCCACCTTTTTACCCCGCCCCTCAGCCCCACCATTTGTAAAATGTTGAATCCCCAATAACTAGGGATACTTTCAATTATATATGGTTGATATCCATCTCTTAGTCCTAGAGAAGAAGTCGCTTAAAGCTATATAGCCAAATTGACCCCCTTTTGTCCTGCCCCTCAGCCCCCTGGTGGGTCAGCCCCACCATGTGTACAATTTTAAATCCCCACTACCTAAGGATGCTTCAAGTCAAATATGGTTGATATCCATCTCGTAGTTACAAAGAAGAAGTCGCTTAAAGCTATATAGCTAAATAACCCTTTTTGGCCCCGCCCCCGGCCTCAGCTCCAAAGGAGAGTCATATACCCGTCATTAAATCATCATTGAATCTCCTTCATCCAGGAATTCTCTTATCTGTGTCCTTGACCTCATTGATATGCCATGTCAATTTATGTCGAAATCCCTTCTCCCTTAAAAACTGAGCACTGTTTTCCTTTTTTGTCCCAACCATCTAACCTTAAGGAAAGGGGAGGGCGGGGGCAGTGTGTGTCGAAATTCATTTACTTTACTAATTGAAGGAGGCTTTTAAAGATTATCCTCTACTGTATTTCCGTTTTAAGCAAGGTCTTGCATCTCTGCTCCCATGGGGGTTCTGGGTCACTTCTTCCATGCATGTATATGTTCCTTGGCCCAGAGCTGAACAAATTTTGATTAAAAAAAAAAGATTTAAAACAAAACTCTTCAAAATTTCTGAACTAGCTTCATTTTAAAGAAAACTTGATGGACAGATGGCAGATGGAAAGACAACAGACACTGCATCATGGCATAAGCCCACTAGTCACTTATTACTATGGGCCAGGCAAGCTAAAGTTTAAAGAAACCCTGTAGGAACTCTTTTCTAAAGTTTATACATACACAAATGTACAAACATTCAAAGTGCATTTTTAGGAACAGGATTGAACCTCTTAATTTCTCGTTGAAGTCGGTCGACTTCGTGCTGTAAAGAGAGAACACAGGCCCTTTGCTGTTTTATTTTTAAAATCAACATCTCTTTGGTCATATCTTTGTGTTTGTAGGAACTATGCATTAGATCAGTAGAAAGTTTTGATTTGTCATCAAGTCGATGTTTACGTGACCACAAACGTCTCCGATAAATACCACAAGTGCTGCATCGTCGTCCTGGCACTAGCAACGAACACTTGACGGACCTGACGGTCGAATGGTAGTCTAAATCTCCGAGTTGTGCACAGAAGTCGCCCTCTCTGTAACCATGTATGGAGGAATCTTTACTGTCACTTAGCTCACAGCCAATGGCAGCAAGGTCGTAAAAGCCCTCATCGGGATTCCCCATACAGACGGCGAAGCTCTGTAGCTGTGTCAATAGCTGGGAAATACTGCTATAGGAATCATACTTTGGTGGAAGGCCAGTCCAGAGGTGGTGATCTCTCGACACCTCCTTACGATGGACGTAAATCTTGGCCTGAAACGTCCGATCAATGTTTATCACAAGTTTCACACTGGTTTTCCGCTTAATTTTGTAAAGTTCAATGATTTTGATTTCATCTTCCTGGAAGGAAAAAACGTACGGAGGTTGAAGCTTATGCCTGACTTCCTCTGCTAACTCTTCTAATGTCTCTTTTATTGAAACCACATCAGAGTTAAAAATCGGAACCTTTATTTCGAAGGTGCGGTTAATATCCCTTTCAGAAGAACCATCATCGGTGGAGATGCGGGCTGTTAGTATTTCAGCATGGCCATATCCATTTTCCGGAGATGTGTGGGTTTTCTGTATTTTAGTTGAGTCGTGTTGACCATTTTCCAAGGTGGTGCAGGTTATCTGTGATATTTTTTTGCTGCGACCGTTTTCCAGGGTGTCGTGAGTTACCGGTGATTCAGCATAGCTATGATCTTTTTCTGGCTTGGTGTGGTGCTTTAGCGATTCAGCATTGCTGGGACTGTTTTTCAGTATGGAGTGTGCCATCTGTGTTCCAGCGTAGCTATGATCATTTTTACGGGAGGTGCGGCATATCTGAGATTTAGTGTAGTCGTGATTATTTTCTGGAGCGGTGTTTTTAATTTGACTTCCAGCATGGCTGTGATTGTCATCTGAAGAAACATGTGTTATCTCACTGCCAGAGTAGCCTTTAACGCCATCGGGTGAGGTGGGAGTTGTCTCCCTTGTAGCATAATTATGATCACTGACAGTGGAGAGAGTTGTCTCCCTGTTTATGTAGAGATGGTCGAGACATGAAGATTGGAACTCGCTTGATTCCTTCAAACAACCATCTGTTGAAGTACAAGGTTCAGCTTTGGATGCAAATTTGAAGTCGTCTAAATCTGAACAGCCTTCTGAATTTAATTTTCTTTTCTTCCTGTAATTTTTCCAAAGAATATCAACCAAATTTCTCTTCTTTCTTGGCATTCTGAAATAAACAAAAAACACATTCACTAGTAAGAACTGACTGGATTCCTAAACTCAATAAAGTAACTTGATCATTCAATTAAAAAAAACCCACAAAATATAAAAATGAAATGCATCAATTTTGAAAGTAAGCCACAATAAGATAGAGCGAATAATTAGAAGTTATCATATGACCATTTCTATATCTTACCCATATCAGCCCAAGACCACCATTATATCAGCCCAAGTAGAGGATTAAGATTGGAGGGGGGAAGGGGGGCCTAAAGGGTGTATATATGGGTTAGGATATGGAAATAGTCATGCAATTACATTTCTATCATAAATCACACATTGAAAATGTATTTAATTAAGACATGATTTTTTCTTAAATATGTTGAACAGGCAGTATGTACAGGCCTTTTTTATGGCAGATTATGGGCCAGATCCCCTATCCAATATCGGCATTATTTTCCCCTATTTCAGAAAAAAATAATCCCTACTTGTGACTGACATACAAATGTACTACCATGTACTATCTTGGTTCTATTTCGTTTTTTATTTTCCTGAGTTAATTTATTTCATTTTCCCTGTGTTCGTGGTGTCACTGTCGATATTTTACAACACTGTTTATGGCTTGCCCTATCTTTACAGTATACAATATCATAACAGTCGCACAAATAACTTATTGTAATTATTACCATATCAGGTGGTTGATGATACAAAAATTAAGATGTCATTCATGCCCCCCTTTTGTACTGTACGAACCAACTACAGTTGAGAGCGAAAAAGTTGAATAGGTATGGAGTCACCTGCCCGACCATGTGGGTTTTCTCCAGGTACCCCGGTTTCCTCCCACAGTAAGACCCCACCTCGCAATAACATCCGGGCCAGCATGAGTGATTAGTNCCCCCCCAACCCGCCGCCGCCGCCGCCGACAGGTCATGCGCTATTGGCCAACAGCAGACCTAGAGCATATTTTCCTCTATTTCAAGAAAAGAAACTAACTTTCTATTCCTGTATTTATCCCTGGGCATGTACCAGGCAGCTAGTGGCACATGCAGTTAAGTATGGGTTCGTCCAGGATATGATCAATGACATTTATATAACTATACAATTTTAAACTTGTATTCTGTGATGTTCTAACGTATTTTAACTCACTTACCCCTGAAGACACATTTGAACTCGTCCAATTCAAAGGTTGGAATAGTTCATTCTCAAGTTTCAGGGGTGAATGAATTAACCAACAATTTTATCCCCATGTCACTGTAATAAAACCAGTACTAGGATGAGGGACGGGAGAAACATACTGCAGTGTATGGAGGATATATTTAATCACGGCTCTTCATATTCTGATCATCACCTATGCCAAAATGTTCGATTTAGCGTCAAGATACTTCAGGGTATCCATCTTCTAACGGGTGGTCAGGTGGCGCCGTTGATAGCACACTTGCTTTTCACGAAGGCGCCCAGAGTTTGATTCCCTGATCTGACGTGAAAAGGTATGGAGTCACCTGCCCGACCACGTGGGTTTTCTTGGAGAACTCCGGTTTCCTCCAACAGTAAGACCCCCCCGCGCACTAACATCCGGGACAACAAGAGTGAATTTTATAAGTTGTAAAAACTTCTTTCATAATTGTTGTAAAATAAATTAAGTTAATATATGTCCTTTCCATCTTCTAGTGAACATATTTCCAGATTCAGTACCAGCACATTTTTTTCCAACTATTTAAGCACTGATTCACCAGGGTATTCAAAAGCCTTTTCAAATTTAATTATTAAAAGTATAGTGCTCAGGATTTTTTGTTTTGTATACCAATGACATCTTAACCTAGTAATTTCCCCTATATACATTCTTGCAATGAAACCTGTTAGATCCCATTATTAATTGATTTGTCTACGTTTTTCAATCTTCCTGCATTTGGATGGTGCAATTTTTTACATATTATTACAGAAGTACTGAAGTAAGATTTTAAGTATGTAAATAGACCTACAATTCTTCAAAAAATAGCCTGTGTTTGTCTCCCTTGGGGAGTTAGTCATGCATTAATTCCATTTTCTGGTTACTGATCGTCAGTCGTGAATCCATTAAATGTAATTAAATGATCTTACAACAAAGTCATGATTTCTTTTCTTTTCAAAAAGTATGAAAATTCAGCCGTAAAAGTGTCTGGGCATAGGAATTTTCCTTATTCTTTACATGTATCTTTAAAAAGTGTGTGAAGCTTTATCAATGAAAAGTTACCTTCTAAAACTAAAGATTTGGTCTGGTTTAGCTTAGGAATGTGAAGAGTGTCAATGAAAGAATCGGAATCAATATCTGATTTGTATTATCGTTTGAAAATAATTATTCCTAAAATCTTAAAATTTCTTCAAAAAATATGAAATAATTTTAAACTAATTTGTTGAGTTCACTTTTTTCTCAACTTGCGGTAAAAGAAATAACAAAAAAAAATGGATTTTTTGATGAAAAAAAGCCGCACTTGGACTTTTAAAAGACCCAAGTGCAAGTTACTTCAAAGCCTGGTTAGCTTAATAGGAACTTAATGCAAACATTCATATATCATAATAAGTGAAATTCAAAACTGAATCCGTATGTATAAGGATTTACAATAATTTTTCAATGATGAGACAGACAAAAATATTTTATATAAGTTTTTGACAGTTCTGAAAAAACACGTTTGAAATTTGTGTTTGCGACTCGTCAAGCTGATCACACTTTGAGCAACCGAGCCCAGGTTATAATCTGAATTTTTAATTTATCATGTGCATCTGGAGGAATAATCAATTAAATATAATCAGGGACAGTATATACTTTTTTTGTCTTCATCTTTCGATTCCTTCATTACATATTTGGCAGGCTCGGTGTTTTCAGGTTACTTTTTGTATATATAGACTTAGCAGTTAGGTTACCCTGTATGAGTCGCCGTATTCCCACGCGTTTTTCATAACCTATCATGATCGGTATGTGCCATGGAAACACGGATGAGAGACGTTTGATGAGCTTGAATGAACTTACGTGGTCATCCTTAGCTTGTTGGACTACAACACTGTTCTCATCCGAAGCGTCGATTCGGATGAGAAGCGTAATCAAATATGGCGGCGAGGTTTTCCATTAGGGATCCTCTGGAGTTATTCAGCAATTTAGAAGAAAGACTCAGTGAGGTGCGAGTAGATCCGTCTCACGTGACAAATGCTCCTGGCCCTCCGATATTTTTTTCAACCGATTTTGATGTAATTCATTGCACAAATAAAAGAAAAGATTTAGTTTCTCAGCATAATTAAGAATCGTTTGACATATAAAACATATGCTAGTAATTACATATCTTTCTATAAAAGTTACTAATTGTGCAATAAAAGTTACTAAATGCCAGAATACTAGAGAAGTATAATCTATATGAATACATTGTACTATTTCTAGATGATGGTGTTTTTCTTTATTTTTTCAAATAAAATGTATCGGAAGTCATTGATTTATAAATCCGTAACAAATTATGAAACTAATACATGCATGCAAAGAATGTCTAATGACACAGACTTTCCACGATTTGTATTGCTACATGACTGTCTAAAACCTCATTATTTATGGAAACTAGCTTTGCGTCACCCAAATTTTCTTGACAATGTCGGATATATAATGAAATTGATCGTATCTATACAGTCAAACCTGCTTGAGCGGTCACCTGAAATAAGCAGCCACCTCCCTTATGTGGTCAGTCTGTGGTCCGCCCGATAGAAAAACCTATATAATGAACCTGAAATAAGCAGCCACCTGTCTAATGCGGCTAGCGGTCACAAAAATCTGGCCCGAGACGTTATCTCCACCTGTATTCAGCGGTCATTTTGTCCAGACAAATGTACGTGTAAGTAACATGGACACATCCGACAGTGTGATTCTTGGCATGAACTTTACATACTTATACAATTCTCTACCAATTTAGATTGAAGACAGGACGAAGACATCACTTTTTACATAAAAAAATACATCGGCGGACGATTCTGATATGGCAGGGACGTAAGACGTATATAAGATAGCCATATATCACAGCGGCTACACAAAATGAAAACTCCATATAATTTTTATATTACTTGATTTAAAACAAAATAATATGACGTAAGGGCCAGTTTAATGATGGAACTTTTTAGAGTCATATATCAAACTGTCACTGTCACAATTAAATGGAATAATATGATAGTTTAAAATATTTGTTTCCATGAAATGTTGCTTTAGATGTCGGCTTAAATCGTGATACGAAATTGAAAATGGCCCTTCGCCACTTCATGATTTTTCGCCATTTCACTTAAAGTCAGTAACATGTCTATTTGTGTCGAAAACGCAAATATTTTTCTCTCTAATGGGTAATGAATTAAATGAAAAAATGAACCGTTCTGAGACATTATTTGCCTACTCCGTTCAACAACAATCAAAATGAAAAAATAAACATCTTTATGAAAAATTAAACAGATTCGTCACTCAGGTGTGGCTTGAAGTAATTACCCAAACCCAAGCACAAACAAATATTGCTTCATATTCTATATATATTATTTTTTTCAGAAAAGAAACAGGTTCCAAGATTTCCACTCATCGCTAGCTTCAAATACGTGAAATTCAAACTCGAATAGAAAAGAATTCTACCGGGCTCGCTCTAGTTGGTGGTATTCAATTCAACTAAGCTTCACAACATTGGTTTTGCGTTTGTTTTAAAACACAATTTTCATAAACATGAACTTGACTAGTTTGGATTTATGCTAAAATTGGAAGCTTTATTATGAAAATAGTGTGCCACAAGTAAACTCATCACGAGTTCTTGGATCCGCCCTGAAGATACATTTTTGTAGAAAAAAGCTGCTAAATGTTAATTTTGCTATTTGAAACTATTCAATAAATTGCATATCAGCATCACCATTACTACAAAAATAATAAAACTTCAAAATTCAGAAATTTCATCAAAAAACTAATATCGTATATGATACACATACATTTTTACCTTATTGAATAAACATCGTAAGTTTTCGGTCCAGGTTACTAGCCTTAGGTAAAAACGCATGTAAAATACAGTTTAACGCTGTTGGAATTTGATTTAATACTTTCAACAACCTTTTTTTCTATTTGTTGGATGACAAAATTTTCCCGTAGACTGTAGACATATACCCATGGGAACACACTGTGCCCCATTTCTAGCCGGTTTGGTTTTATTTCCATATGAGGCTGAATTTAATAAAGAGCTCATCAGGAGTGCATATAACAAAAAGCTTACCAAGCCATTCAATTTCACCAACAGATATTTTAACTTAAGTAACAAGAAATGTATTGACCACGACTATACCCTTCTGCGCTTGAAATCAAGGGCACTAATGACTCTTCTACATCAGTCACTTTCCTCGATTTATATTAACAACATGACGAACAGGGACATTTACTTCTAAACTGTATAAGTATGGTAATTGATTTTTATACCGCGATAAAACTTTTCCCAGCCTCGATACTCCAGGGGTAACGCTCACTTACGATCTCTGCACCCCTGGAATCACCGTCGGATACCCACGGTTGATTTCGCGTTCGGTACTCACTCATCACGATTCATGATGAGTGAGTACCGAAGCTAAATCAACCATGGGTATCCTTTGATGCCCTGGAATATGTCATAGCAAAATTGAAGGCTCAGTACCACCTTGTGGGTGAGACAAGAAGACTCGTTTGATCCTTTGATGTACATTTAAACAAATTTCGCGGTAAAATTTACTGGCTCTGAAGTCGGGTGTCGTTCCTCTGTAATCTTCAAAGGACAGGTATCAGTCTAGCAATTGGCCAGGTTTTTTTTACTTGAGACCACTCAAACAGCTTTCTTTGTGCCTTCAATTTTTGTATGACATATTCCAGGGTACTTCAGAGAGCGTAAGTGAACGTAACCTCTCGAATATCGAGGATGAACTTTCCCTTGCTTGACAGTAACATCATTGCTTTTGAAACCCTGTATAAGTTTAAACCTTGCAGTTAATTTCAGTTTTTAAGAGCTTGCCCGGAGTATCATGATTAGAATGCTGACAGACAAACATACGACACAGGGTTTCCGGAGATGAAGAATTGACCATTTGGACCAAAACCTAATGTCTCAAACAGTCTATCCTTTTTATTTTGTTCCTAATCTTGAAGATTATTTAATGAAAAATGTATTTTTTTAGCCGTATACTCATGTACACAAGTGTTGGATCATGTATCATTAACCTTTCGTCTTTCGGGGGCAATTGGGCTCTCATTTTGATTATGTGTATTTGTAATTCCTGGATGGTAACACTGCCTTTGCAATGTAAACATTCTGATGTCTTATCTATTTCTATTTTCAAACATTCAAATTCCAAACAACTAAAATTCTGTAGAAGTACATCGCAACATGTGATTTTAATGTACATGCATTCTGTTATCTGTATGGATTAAAACTGTTAGTGACAGGTAATTTAAGCTAAAATATAAAACAACAACAAAATTCCACTGTCTACCCTGAACTGCCTTTCTTGATTCCAGGTTTTCTTAATTTCCACTAAGGGAGATAATGCCAGTCATAAATATTAAAGACGAGTTTCACGAGCTGTCTCCCTTCTACAACCCATTATATACCCAATACTTCTTTTAAAGATATTACACGTCAGTCTCGTGGGTAAGTTTATCATGCTGGTACACTTCACCTTAGATTGAGCTAGTGGGAGTTATTAAGGATCCCTGTCCCACGGCACTGTTTTTTCCTATACACAGTAACCTCCCTTGACTTCCATTTTGATATAACTACAGAAAAAGTTAGGCCAGGGCGTACACATCAGTTGACCTGGAAGCTCAGAGCAATAGAAAAAATCTGAGGTCCAGGGTTCGAATCCCAGTCCAGCCCCAGTGACTTTTTACTCTTAACACAGTTTAAAAATGATTATATTCTGTTTATTTCATCTTTGTTATTTTTCATTAAGGCCTGCAAAGTATATTTTTTTCTCCCAGAAATGATTTATCAAAGATAAAGTTATGCCGGAAAAAACAGTTGCCAAGGTGTAGTTACAGTTTTCGGCAGTGGTACGGGAATCTGTAAGTATTAGTTGAAAATGTCTCATCCAATCAGGAGACAGAAATCTGTCAAACTCGGAAGCCTGATCAACTCTAAAAATGAAAACACCAGTAAAGTCTAATGATCAGGACTATAAAGGAATATAAATTTTAAATAGCACTGGCCTGGTGAAAATTGAGAAGAATTTCAAAAGGTGTCAGCCCTGATTTAGCCATGTCCCTCCTCTAATACTTACAAGGGTGCACACTCTTCATTTACACAAATAAATGCTGGGGACAAATTATAAACATATGATGACTGGGTCAAGAGATAAAAAAGTAAAAGAGATATATTTTTCATATACATTTAATGTACATATTCTGGTAGATTTTTACAATTTGACATATACATGTATACATCTGTACAAAATTCAATATTACAAGAGTCGATGAAAGGCGAGCCTGGAGGACAGAGATTTATGGAATGGAATTTCCTCAACCTCTATAGTACATGTAAAAAATGTACACATGCATTACCTACTGGTAATATCCTTCCGATACATACATATACATACAATACTTTAATATCCTTATTATTCTGAGTACACATATACACCTGATATATTAATCTTTTTCACCCTACGGAGTACGTATATACACCTGATATATTTGATCTTTTTCACCCTACAGAGTACATATATAAATACACATATAATAGTAAATTTCTGGCAATGTCTTTTTTTCTGAAACAACAACACATGTCCATTGAAAGCAGGTGAAAATGTTACTTTTCTAGAGCATTGCCTTTCCGAAAAAAATGAAATACTTACGTTGTAACAAGTGATGTCATTCAAATGTTTTTGTTTCTGTGCTGTTATGACAATGTTTCTCTCCCTTTACTCCCTCCAATGTTCACCCCCCCCCCCCCCCCCC